TTTTGCACTAATTGCTAACAGAAAGATATGTAATATCAGCTGCATGATTTGCCCCTTCCATGTGCCCAGCTATAATGATCAGAATTTAGTGCTGCATTTGTTACTATTAGACACAAATTTATCCTGACACTTTTACAGGCAAAGCTTCGAAAACATTTAGTCATGGAAAATATAATCATAGTCTGGACGTATTTGCTCCTTCTCCCATACATTTTAGGCAGGATCTCACTTTAGAGCCTTGTCTGGATTTCTGAAAGGGGAGAGTAGTGTGGAGAGGTCATTTGGGGGTGGTCTTGCTTATAAGATAGATATTAATTATCACGGAGCAGTTAACTGCATCCTTATGAAAGAACAGTGATTTGCATCATGGGAATTTTGCATCTCTCTGTAGCCTTTCAAATTTTACGCAGTCAAGACAAAGTGGAACACCGCGTGGGCTTTCCAACGCGGCAAATCCTCGCGGGTGTAGACTGTCCGTTGTCCCCAGGGAGCATCTCGTGATGTTGACTGGTCCACCATGGGGTTAGCAGCCTGCCTCGTAATCACTGTGCTGCCAGGGCTCCTTTGCCCTATCAGAGAGAAATAATTTTTATTTTCATTTATATTGCATTTCCAATGCTTGCTGCCAAACACTTCAGACTTTTTGAGGACAAATAAAAGTAATTTGTGGTATAAATAAAACATTTTGTGTCAGAATAAAATAGCAAACCATTAATGGAAAGGACTATCCCCTACCTGTTCACCGTATAACTGCATGAATTAGGCTGCTTCAGAGAATTTTGAAAAATTCCCATGGCTGTCACATTCATAAGTCTTTCTGACCCATTTGGGCGGATGTTGGTGTATTACTTGGAGCATGCTATAAAACTTACCTTTCATTTATGGAAATGTGCTTGTGCTTTGTTCCCCACAAGGCAAATGTGGGACGTGGGGATCATAATAGACCTTGGACACGGAGACAGAAAATGGGATCTAGGAGTCTTTGAAAAAGCAATTAAACACATTTTCATTTCAACAACTGAAGATGAGGATCTAAGATGGGCAAGGGGTAGAATAATGAGAGAGAAATCAGTATTCAGCTTGCCTCTTGGCATCGTGGCTTACCAATTTCTCTACGGGATATCGCAGCACATCAGAAGCAGTTCTGCCTTCCGGTCCCTGGCTCACTGTTGTAGGAAGCAAACACTGAGAACAACTCTAGATGTATTTCCCTGGAAGTTTCCAGAACCATCAGCAAGGAGCCGCTAGCCATACCACTAACAAGTTGACTCAATACCTTCTTGGAAATAGGTGCGATATAAATGACAGAGAAAGGAGTAGTAAAAGATTTTTGGAGAACATACCGCTCTAGAAAGTATTGTGAGACTTCATGTTAAAAAGTCTCTTTCAAAGTGAAAGAGCTTCAAAGTAAAACAAGAGCAGACTGTTTGCTTACATCTGGGAACATCTGCCAAAAATGCATTTTCACTAGAAGTCAAATGGAATTTTTTTAAACAGTGGAGAACCTGCACTGTGTGGGGAGAAGACCGTTCATAGTCTTCAAAAAGAGGAAGACCCTCAAGGAGATGGACTGACACGGGAGCTGCCACTGTGGGCTCCAGACAGCCGTTAGGAGGGCGGGGAGGGCCCAGGGATGTTTCATTTTGTGGCATATAGGGTGCCGTGAATCGGAGCTGACATGATGGGACATAGCAACAATAGTCTGCATAAAATTAAGTATGCATTATAATTCTTCATGAAATGGAGAAGTTGTACTAATGCTTGCTCTTCCTCTGTGAGTTACAACTTCACAATCTTACCCCGTACTCTAAATCATACATGCGAAACATCAGGCAAGTCTGTCCCTTATGCAGTGTGTCCATGCTACAATTTAGGATATTTCTCCACAGCTCTTAGGTTGACAATTTGGATGGACTCAGTTGCGCAGTTCTGTTGGGGTGATAGGTGAACGCGTGGGAGTCAAAAATGGACCCACATCCACCAGGTCTTTAGCTGGCCCTGCCGCTCCCTCTCTCACAGGGACACTGATCCCCCAGGAGTCGGGCCTAACATTGTTCGCAGACAAGGTGTCGAGGAGGGTGGATGCAGAACACACAATATCCCTTGACCACATTCTGTTGGTCAGAGTAAATCATAAAACCAACCCAGATGCAAAGGAAATGGAAATAAACGTCTCTTCTCCTGTGAGGAGTTGCAACGCTGTTTCATCTGGCCCAGAGACTTGTCATTGACCTTTGTCTGATTAGTAATCCTTCTGTTTCCTTTCTTCTGAATCATTATGTTTCCTGCTCCTCCTTGCCAATATCTCTTCCGAGGGTCAAACCTCCCATGGTGCCTCATGCAGACACCACACCAGTCACCTCCAGCAGTCCGTCACTCTCAGCTTTTCCAATCACAAGATAATTGCTTTGTTCCCCTTCGCCTGATCTTCACATATTACCCTGGGTCTCCGTGGCCTTACCCCATCAAATCACCTTATCTCCTTCTGCTGTGAAGAAGTTTCCTGGCCAGTCAACTCACTTTCTCACTTTCTCTCGCCTTTTCCTTTTCTTCAGGCGCCCCCAACTCGAGCCTGTGCATTCTGATTTTTTTTAACCCTAGCTGCATATTTGAATTACCTGGAGTTTTAGCAAACAGTGTCACCTGTTCCCTCCCACAAACCTAGTAAGAATCTCTAGAGGTAACAAGTGGAAAGACTCGGGTGTCCATGTTTTATAAATTCCATCGGACTCTGATGCTCTACCTGACGGAGAAGCACTGAGCAAGCACAATGCATCTGAAATGTCAATGCACATAGGGGTTCTTTCTGAAATGCAGATTCTGACCTACTAAATCTGGGCTAGCACCCAAGCTTATGCAAGACATCTCAATATGCTTTGCAGATCACTATTCTAAACTCGGCTCCTATAGCAGCTGTATCATTGCCACGTGGGCGCTTGTGAGAAATGAGCATCCTCAGACCATCCGTCTGGCCTTCAAAAGCAGACACGGAATCAGGATTGAATGCACTTCAGTCCTCTGAGGTTTCCCAGAGTGCTTCAGGTGACTCTGATGGCTGCCAATGTTTCAGAAGCATAGGATGGATCTTGGTGTTTAGGCATGGCCAATTTGACCCTGAATTGTGTTCTATGGTGTGTTTCCTATGTTTTTTTTAATTGTTTTTCTGTTTTGTAAATTGGACCCCTGGACCTTCTCCAGAATTAGAAGTAGACCAAGACCCTGAGAAGCAGAGAAGGCATAGCCACAATCCCTCTGGCTTTTACTTCGTGTTCATTTAGGGATCATTCTCCTTCATTTTGATCAGGAGGAGTAAGAGAGAACGCACCTGGAGTTACAGACGTCAAACTGTCCTTCCCACCTCTTTGTGCACTCAGCTCCTAAAGCATGGGGGTTAGAATGCCCCTGCAAGTGAGGCTCAGCAGTGCAGGTGTTACCTGAAAGGAGCTGATGTATTTTTTTAAAACCAGCCGACTGGGGACATTGAATCCCTGTGAAGGGATATTGTAACTCACCTCTAACTGCTGTCCTATCAAAAAATCACCCTCTGTAGTACTTTGCTTTGTTTACAAGCTTTAGTTAATGGTTTTCTCTCCATTAGGCAGCTCAGGGGAGTACTATTTAGAGAGGTAATTGAATTCTTGCCAGTTTGAGACATCATCTAAAGCTGTTCCAGACCTCAGTGTTTCTCCTTGTCATATATTTCCCTCCTTTCCAACATGCAGATAGCTCAGATGCGTCTACCTGTGGGGTACCGATGGAAACTAAAGCTGTATAACATGGATGTATTTCATCCATACAAGCCATTTGTCATGGAGAAGGATAACTCACTATTCCCTGATGCAAAATAAAAAAATCTCAAGATGAAAAATATCTATATGTAATATAGATAATTATATTGAATAAATTTGAATTGCATATTCAATACATATTGAACACATTGATTTTATTGATTATTGAACACATTGAATAAAATGAATGCATATTGAATAAATATATACTTGTGTATATATATCAGTTTGAACTTTATATGCAGTTTATATATCGTTCAGGTTGAGCATATATACATATATATTTGAAAACCCAGGATGGTGCACTTTCAGAAATTCACGCCATTCATGTCAGCACAAAGGGACAGCGATCCAGTGTCCTCATCGCTAACTCTGCCACCAGTTCCGCACGCCGACCCTCTCCACCGAAGCTGAATAGCTTCCTCTGCTATTCACTGAAAAATTATCACTCTTGGCTGCTTAAAGAATGAACATTATCACTCTTGGCTGCTTAAAGAATGAAAGTGTTCCTTGCCCCTCGCAGTCATTTGCTCCCATGGCTGGACGAGGTTCGTCACTAACGTGGGCCATGGGGGGGGTCACATCTAATCTTGGGTGACAAGGTGCTGATGAGTGGGAAAGGAAGATCTGGCTAGCAAGTAAGTCAATAAATTAATATCAGGGGGAAAGTCTTTACATCCTCAAAAAGAACACCTTTATGTTTTTTTATTTTATTTAAAAAGTAATAATTCTGCTGTATAGCTGTTAACCTGAACATTTATATAATTTTTGAAAATGGAAGCCTGAACTATGTAGAAACAAAATTACCACAGAGAGCGTACACTGCAGCCTCACGGCACATGCTTGCCTTCATTTGCACACCCTGAAACAGTTTATTCGCTCTTTTCCTGTCTCCTCTGGCAAGTGCTCATGGGAAACGTGTAGGATCTGTTCTGTTTTAGGAATTAACCCGCCCATCATATTCCTGAAATACACTCAGTTTCCACAACACCTGTTGCTTCTCCACTAGTCCTTACTATAGCATCTCCCAAGGTCAAGCTCTGCGCAGTGACCCGCCCATTCTGCTATTGTTCTTTTCATCTCTTTTCAACGGCCATCCACTAGACTGTGTTCGCCTTTCACAGATATATGGACCATGAAATCATTCGTCGCTGAACTCTCTGGGCGTCTGCCTGGTGTTCCGCAGAATTAATAGTCTTTTCCCTTCCGCAGTCTGTGGAGACGCGTGCACTGGGCTGCTTCTCCGTGACCTGGCGCTCCTGGAGCAAATGGCCCTGAGCATCAACCTCACCGGTCCGCTTCCCGTTCCCTATAAAATGCTGTACGGCCTCGAAAACACAACTCAAGAATTAAAGGTAGGTTGATGCAGTCACAGCGAGAGTCTGGAACAGAGTGACCATTCTTTCTGAGCAGTGTTGAGTTGTTGGACAATGTTTCCACACTGTCTCAAGTCAAGGGAAACAGCAGGTACCGAAGTTCAGAAAAGATCTAGCCTGGGGTTTTGCAGGCTTGAGAACTGTAGCATATATAGTTAACTTTCAAGGGAAGAGAGTCTCATACACCCCCTAGTGTTGACCTGAATTCGTTTTATGATGTTAGGTAAAAATATGTGCAAACATAAAAGAAGGCGAGAGCTCCTCATACTTATAGGTCTTATAAAATCAAATAGATTAATGCTTAGAAACTCCTATAAAACCAATAAAAATCAAATTAAAAACATTAATATAAAGTAACAGATAATTTTTGCTGAAAGGAAATTGCTCCTGCAGCAAGAATGTGATACTATTTCCATACACATTCTCTCATTAGCAAGTGGCACATGGTGCCTCAGTTCCCCCACCATCCTGTGAATTGAACCAGAAAGCCCTTGGCATGAGGCAACATGGGTGCAAATGTACTGGATTCAACTGATGTGTGGAATGTTGTAAGAGCCTCCAATAAAATGATTAAAAAATGAAAGAAAGCCCTTTGCAAAGGGTCCCGAAATGACATGAAATCATTAGACGACTTTATGTGGTTTATGTACCCTATGTGCTTTGTGATCAAACACATATGCTATGCACATGTGGACACTGAACACAGGTGGCAATATTTACCTCTTAGGTACTTAACCAGGGTTCCAGAAATACTTACATTAATCTTTAAGATCATTGTCAACATGAAAACACATGGTTCAAATGTTGAGCTATAAGAACTAGCACCCTTTAAAGTACTTTAATGTGTACCAATTTGAGAAGCGTTTCTCTAAAAGCATAAGACTTCCCATAGCTTATAACCTAGGTGGAAAGCTTAAGGAATTTGGAGATATCTCACCTAATAAAAATATTGATGTGAGGTGGTCACATATATTCTTCCAGTCAACTGTCGCATATGTGTAGAGAACTTAAAGAATGCATAGGGTTGCACTTGGTTGCCTGCTGAGTGGCTTCCCTTGATTCCCTATGAAATCCTCACTGCCCCTGAGAATCTTGGAGTCTGTGTGGTAAGAGCGCAGTCATGCGATAATAATCAATACGGCGCCCAGCGTTATCATGTGCTTTACAAAGAATTAGAATGCAGGGCAATTCATACACGGGCGAAATCAGTAGCATTCAAAGTAACCACGACTGAAGAAGGTACAATTCAACTTGGAACTTGAGGGCTCGAAATGCACTTTCATTAAGTGAAGACAAACTGGTAGGACTAAAGGAAGGAGCCTAAGCTGAATTCCTAGGCAGTGGTGGCCACTCTTCTAGAGGCTGTGTTATTCATCCTGGCCAAGACCAGAGCTACGTAGTATATTCCCAGAAAACGAGGCCAGTTTTGATGATAGCAGTCATGAGACCATTGATTGATCACTATGTCTGGGGTAAGCATGTGGCTAAAGCCTCACATGGATTATTGTACTTAAAACGAACAGACACGCCACTTTGGAAAGGAGTACTGCATTGTTTACCTTTTGCAAATGAGGAGAGCCAGGCAGGGAGCACTTCCATGTCAAGGCCAAGATCACATGACCACTAAGTAGAAACAAGAATTTGGAGAGGCAGTAAACTTAGGGTCTGTGAGAAAGAAATTGCCTTTTGCAAAGTTCAGTCAGCATGTGGAGAAGGCTCTGACCGACAGCCCATCACTATTTTTGCCACTGAATTGTATGTACTCCTGAGCAGAGGTGGCAGTGCGAATTAGCAAGCCTTTTCTGGAAGACCTTAGCACTCAGGCTTGTGAATGAAAGTGAAGACTACAATATTGAGGGGGCTGGAGAATAAGGGCACTTTGGAAAGCCAGAGGCATGAAAGCAAAAGGCAGAGGGATTGGAGTTGACCTTGTAACCTCAGTATTCAGGGATGTGAAGAGTTTTAAATAAAGAAATGCTATGTTGTATAACACTGGCCTTGTGACCAATGTCAACATGTCCGCCAAGACCATGACCTTGAACACTGAGGCCCAGCAACTTATTCTTTTAAGGCAGCGGTTCTCAACTTGTGGGTCTCAACCCCTGTGGGGGTTGAACAACCCTTTCACAGGGGTCACCCGATTCCTAACAGTAGCAAAGTGACAATTATGAAGTAGCAACAAAAATAATTTTATGGTTGGGGGGGTCACCACAACATGAGTAATGGTATTGAAGGGTCACGGCATTAGGAAGGTTGAGGACCACTGGTTTAAGGTGTTTAGTTATAGCTAAGAGGTGTTCATTAGTTGGTGGTTTGATAGAGGCCATGATTTTCTTGTCCTTAGATGACAGTATTACTTTTTGTTTCATCCATCACTGTCACAGAATAATCTTGTCTAATGGTGGCATAGGCCAGGCCAGTCCCCAATGTCAGGGACGGCAGCTTTCCTTCCATTCACCTCCAATCAATGTATCTACTGAGGGAGGGGTGTGGGGAGGGGAGGAATGAAAGGATCCGATGAATCATTCTTCACTCTAACTCTCGCTAATGATGTGTCCTTCTGCAAAAATTTGGACCACACTTTTTAAACAACTACAGTTTTCTCGTCCATGATGTGTAATGACATTTTCCTCACAGAGCTAGTGTAATAATTAGATGATAAAAAAATACAAAAGAACAACAGGAAGGTTGTTCTATAAAGAAATAAAACATCCTGCTACGTATTCAGCCCTGTGGTTCCCTGCAAGGCCATTTACTAAAATGCTGGTTGGATGGTCTCTTTCTCAGCACTTGCTCTCGCCTCAGCGGGCTCCAGAGAGACTCATCCAGGTGGCAGAGGGCGATCTGAAGACGCTGGTGATGGAAATGAATGAGCTTCTGACCAGGGTAAGTTGGCAAAATCACGAACTATCTCAGAGCCAATGTAAAGCAAACTAAAGGTAATTACTTCCGATTTCTGAGAAACAAGACATGCTCTGCCTAATGCCATATGCAGGGCATGAAATAAATGGATTTTTGAATGGCTGCTTCTGCTTTCATTCATCCTAGAATCTGATAGCACCCTGATGAAAGTTGCCATAGTGGTTGACATTAGGTGCTATCAAGTTGGTTCTGACCCATAAGGACCCTTTGCACAGCAAAACAAAACACGGCCGGATCCTGCACCATCTGCACAGTGGTTTCTAGGCTACTGGATCAATCCATCTTTGTAAGGGCCTTCTTCTCCTTTGTAGCCCCTCTGCTTTCCCAAACATGATGTCTTTCTCCAGGTATGGTCCCTCTGTAAGAGGAAATCTTCCCATGCTTGGCTCTCGGGAGCACTCTGGCCATACTTCTTCCAGGCAGATTTGTTTGTCCTTGGACCAATCCATGGTATCTTCAGTGTTCTTTGCCAGCACCACAATGCAAAGGCATTGCTTCTTCTGTTTTCTTGCTCCCATGTCCAACTTTTACAACCATATGCGGCAATTAGGAAGGGACAATTATAGTGACTTATCAGAATGACAGCATACGTGTTGTGAGAACTTCATTCCCAACGCTTCCATAATAAAAGTTTTATTCATTTTAATTCCAAAAGCACAAATTTGATTATGTAAAGAAACAGAAAACAACCCAAACGCTGTCGCCATTGAGTGGATGCTAACTCAAATAGGCAGTCTGGGCTGTAACCTGAATGGGGCACCTCCCAGGCCTTCCTCCTGCAGGGAGCTCTGCCCACCAGCCCTTAAGGAAGCCACTGGGCGTTTAGCAGAGGCCACCAGGGCCCCTGAAGAACAGAAACCTAAATCAAACTACAGTACGTGTAATCCCCTTTTACCTTATTATGGGATTTTTATAACACCAATAGGTGTTCCGGCACAAAAGAGGAAATCGTCTTAATGTGAAAATCCAAAGCGTTTCAGACATGTTTTAAAGCCGGAATTTAAAATGCATGTTGAGTTTATCAGCTTTTGCAAGGATCCGGATTTCTACATCCGGAAAAAAACAGCATAAAGTCCGCCACCTTGTGGTTAGAAAAATGAATGGACGGGAGGCTGGTCTTGCACGTAGCGATCCAGTAGGATGATCAGTCCACGTTGAAGGACTAACAGCATTGGATCTGCACAATTTTGAATTATTTCGGATCCCCAAGAAGAACTGCCTCGGTCCGTGGCAGTGAACTGAGTTCCCAGTGGTCAGACAACTCCAGAAAGGAAGAGACAGGCCAATTGGACCCAGGGTCCCAATCCCAGCGGCCGGGTCTTTTCCCCACCCTCCCCTGCTTCTGGCTAGGAAGCTTTCCACGGAGAAACCCACTGAGCTGTGGCAGGGCTGTTACAATTAGCACACTTACTACTGTTTGGGAATCTCACACCAGCAATGTAGAATGTACAGACGCATCACCGATTCTCTTGCCAGATGTATTGAGACATTGAAATGTCCTGAGTAAATTTATTTCATGTTAATATTTAGTATTTGTATTTGTTTTGTGAATATAAGTGAATACAGAGTTAGATCACTTAAACAGATGACAAGCGGGTAAACTTGCTGCGACAAGCACAGCAATTTTCATCACATACTCATACAAAGCCCAAAGCTAAGTGTTAGCAGAAGAGACGGGTCAATAAGCAGCATCTCTCTCTCCTCGGATCTTTCGATTTGGTGTGTGTATTTATCTGTGTGTGCATGCATGCTTGCATTTAGATGTACGGACAGCAATAGGAGAAAACTGCATGTCCGTATATAATAGATAAACAAAATGAAAAAGAGGGTAAGAAATGTGCTTGAGACACCATAAAAATAGACTAACTTAATCTGGCGTAGGGTCGTTAGGAGAAATTCCAGAAACTGTGGGGCATTTATTCGCTTGATTAATTCTATTGGAGATTACCATGTTCTTGGCACCGTGGCAGGTAATGGGGATAGTGGTATAAAAAAGACTTGTCCCAGAACTCGCCTTCATTGAGTTGATTACAACATGATGATCATCACTTAGAGACAATCAGCTCTTGATTATAACTTGGGCTCAATTATTTTATATTTCTAAATGACTCTTCCATAGGATTTCTATGTACAATTTTTTTAAAACTTAGAATAGTTTTAGAGTATAGAAAAAGTTGCGAAGATAGTTTGACGAGCTCCCATATACCCCACACCCAATATCTCTCATATTATAGATGGTTCCTCTTTTACAACATGTGAAGTAATAGTGGTACAATATTTTTATCAATGAAAGTCTATATTAATATTTATTCCATTTTTACCTAATGTCTTTCACTCTTCTTCTGGGATCTCATGCAGGGTAAACCCCACGCTCATTGTCATCAAGTCAATTCCAACTCAGAGGACCCTAGGCTTTCAAGGCTATAAATCTTTATGAGAACAGATAGTCTCATCTCTCTCCTGCACTGTGGCTGGTGGGTTTGAACCACTGACCTTGCATTTAGCAACACTTACCCAGTGGTACCACCTATCTAAGGCAAGTGACATGATATATTTCTCTCCATATCTCTTTGCACTTCGCTAGATGATCAGGCTTTTTTGGGCTTCCCTTGTTTTGGATGACCTGCATCATCTTGAGTAGTGGTGTTAGTGTACTTTATAGAACGTTCTTTCAGTGGCATTTGTCTCTGTGTTAGACTGGGTTCTCCAGAGGAAAAAAACTACTGACATTCAAAAATATAGATAAAGAGAAGTGTTTATAGCAAGAAAATGGCTCATATCGTTAGAGAAGTGGGTTCGTCCATTTTGATGGCCAGATATTATTTTAGAGGTTTTCCCTGACTACTTGAACAGTTGTCAGGGCTGAGGAGCCAGTGAACCGAAACATCAGAGGCCAGTGAAGGGCGAGCGGGCTTGGCAGATCTGATGCTATCCACAGTAGGCCATGGCCAGTTTCCACTGTCAACAGGCAATATCTTGGCCTGCAGGAACACATCCCAAGAGACCGGAAACAGGATCCAGGCCATCCGGAAGGAGAGAAAGGACAAATTCTCCGCAGCATTTCTTCCTTAGATAGCATATAAACTGTACCCCCAGGGAGAAGTCATCAGACACCTTATAGGTTAGGGCTTGTTGCCAAATCATGGAGAAAAACCTAACCATCAGTCATATATTCCTTTCACAATTAGAGCAGAGGTATGGGTATTTGTGACAAAGGTTATAGAACTGGAGATAAAATAACATTCTCACTAGATTGTATCAAAGGCATGTGTGCTTATGTGACCTATCACTGTAGATGCTAAAATTGATCACTTGATAGAGGTAAAATTATCCAACTTTCACCACTGTCACACTCCAATCCCATTTTTTTATTTGCCCATTCTTCAGATTCTAGAAATAAGACTACCAAAGCCAAGATCTTTTTCGCAGGGTTACACAGCTGTGAAAGAAATGTAAATTAAGAACAACAAAGCATTGCCAACAAGGCAATTCCAACTCACAGCTCCTCTATGAGACAAAGTAGGCAGATCCATCTGGGTGGTAAGGCTGGCATCTATTCTAAAGTAGATTTAATCGAATGGGTTGTGCGTTCAACCAGCAACCACTCAGTTAGCAATCCAGCTTTCTGTTCTACTGAAGCTTCTGGATAGCTAAACATTCACTTATTCATTAACCATGGCCCTCATACATTTATAATCATGAATAGAATTGTCAGGGAGACAACCGATGCTCAAATAAATATGATCCATTATTCCATGCCCTAGGGTCAAGTTGCATGATGATCAAAAGTTGGCATGACTGCACATCACATGTTTTTGTTTCCGGGTACCAACTCAGCCACCCTATTCACAACATAACAACTCACTGCCCCTTCCGGTGACGTCCTCACCTTGTCATGTGCGAGCACATTGCTGCAGCCTCGCTTGCAAGCCATCTCTTTAAAGGTCTTCTTCCCCACTGACCCTCTGCTTTGCCAAGCGTGATGTCCTGTTCCAGAGACTGGGCTCTCCTAATAGCACGTGCAAAGTTTGTAAGACAATCCTTCTCATCGTATCCTCATGGTACCAGGACAAGACCACCAGTGCTGCTATCTCACAGTCATGAATGATCCTGCGGTGGAAATTACACACAAGAACGGCAGCACACAGCTCACTCTTGCTATCCGTGGCTATATTTGAATGCGTAATGGTTCAGGTTTGGATGCACACTGGAATGAGCTGACACCAGACCCTACCCCCACTGCTCATGATGTAATTGGTCTGAGATGCATTCTGATAGGAGCTTTGGGATTTTTGAGAGCTCCCTAGATGCTTCTAATATCAGTCAAGCTTGAGAGCTACTGTGATCCTATAACCACCTAATGGTTAAGGGTTACTACTTCGATGGATACAACCAATCTCTGCCTGCTCCTTCTTCCTCTGCTCTGCTGATGCATGAATTGCTTTATGACTGATATATTCTTTCTTTAGATTGGTTAAAACACTCACTAAGTGTCATCTAGCATAAGAAGTGGAGGAGTTGCCCTCACTCCTTCAAGGGCTTTTATATTTTGTGTTCATTTTTTCAGACTGTAACCTAGTCCCTTCAAGTGCTTTTATATTTTGTGTTCATTTTTTCTGTGTTAATAAAGAAAATATCGTATGAGTCAGAATCAATTCCATGGCAATGAGCTCAGTTTTGATTTTTTTCAGAAGAACTAACATTTGGCATGTTTTTAAATATATGTTTAGTCAATGTGTAGATAGTCAATAAAATATCACATAATCACATATTTCTTCAACACAATTTGATGTATTGCCGTCCCTGTGTCTATATTTAATTTAATGTATCCAAAGTTCTCTATACCATATCTGCAGTATTTTTTGTGCTTTTTGATAAACCACTCCACATCCTTCTATAGCCATTGTCCTTAGCTCCCTCTTCTGTATCAAAACAAATATAATATATAGGTAGATAGACAGACA